GACTTGCCACAAAATACACGCAAGTACCCTTGACCACAGACATCAAACCAGTCTTAAATTGTAAAACACTGCTGCCCTCGCTACTTGGATCCAAATTTTGAGCCTTGGTATATGCTTGCTCACATACTGGTCACAAAATGAAATAACAATGAGATGCTAGAAAGGTCATACTGATGGATTAATCAGAACGTAAACAATCAGGCATGCTGTAAGAATTACATTCATATTTGGACCTACCTTTATGCCAAGGTGTGCCAAGGTAAGACCTGCAGAAGAGAAGGCAGATGTACTTATTATATTTGCATATATCAAAATGGTCCTGATGTAAGTTTTTTTAAAAAAGATCTCCTTCCATGTATATATAAGTTGAAATATCGCTGCTAACAGCAATGTATGGTCATAGCACAAAAGGAACACCTAAGTGTGTGTTGTTAAGACTAAGGCATTGATGTCGATCATTCAATTTATCAATATTAATTGCCTTTATTTTTGTGCAACGGAAAAAACTATCAGAAGAGGAGGGGTCAAAAGGCCATTGGCATGCAACCTCATGGTAAATACGATTTTTGATAACTCAGCACATTAAATTTCTTGAAATTGTAAGTCAATAAAGAAGAAGGCATCATTCTATAACAGCAAATATTACCTAAAAGAGCTAAAATCGCAGAATATTCATTGTTCTTCATTTTCAGCGACTTTAACCCAAAGACGGCAGTAGAATCCTGCGAGTAAGGCCATTGGCATGCAACCTCATGGTAAATACGATTTTTGATAACTCAGCACATTAAATTTCTTGAAATTGTAAGTCAATAAAGAAGAAGGCATCATTCTATAACAGCAAATATTACCTAAAAGAGCTAAAATCGCAGAATATTCATTGTTCTTCATTTTCAGCGACTTTAACCCAAAGACGGCAGTAGAATCCTGCGAGTAAAACATAATGAAAGCTGATAAAGTTATAAGTGCCTAGTTGGCATAGCATGGAAGTTTATCAAACAGAAGGCAGACCACAGGTCTCTATTAACCCACCTGTGGTTCTGAGGAATAAGTTAGAAACATACATCAAACCTAAATTCAACTGGTTTCACAGGACAAGAGAAGAATCAATGTCACATAACTGTAAATAGCGTCTTTCATCACCGTGTTTGGTCATATTACCAAATGGGTATTTGTTGTATCTGAAAGCTAAAATAATAGTAACTAACAGTTAACAATCAAAAATCATCATCATAGGAGGATCTCTGTTCGTCCTTGGTTCTCCCTGAGTGGAACTCTAAAATTTATACAAATTAGCCCTTTTAAATATGTAATTTGAAGGCAACTTCGACACTGAGTTGAGTTAAGGCCATTAGGCAGCAGCTAAGATCATTCAGGAATTCAAAATTAAAAATTACCAACTATAATGACATGGATGTCCCCTCGAACAAGATCTTTATTCTTATCCTTTGATTGTTTTTACACACCTCCAAACAGAGCAAGTGTAAGCCCAGCTGTCAAAAGAGGCTAAACTTAGCAAACAAGTTTTGCTAGTTCTTAGTAAAGAAGACAGTAACATATGGAGATTGTTGTGCAAGAAGGAAATGGCATGTGAAGTTACTCAGCAATAAACATCTTGCTTAGCTGCAAGTTGCTGAACGTGAATGTGCATTTGCAGAGTCTGTCATCTTAACATACTCTCAGAGAGTGATGATTGAAGTATAAAGTACCTTTGACAAGTTCCTGTCCATAAATTGAGGGGCACAAAGACTGAAGTATCTAGCGGAATATATCTGAACCATACTCCTCTGAGAACTTAACAATAAACTTTAGATCTTTAGACGTAAAAGAAAGTAAATCAAACAACATCTTGTCTCAGGCCTGTGAATTCGCCACTTGAAAGTCTTTAGAAACATATTGGGACTTGGAGTTTCTAACTAAAATTGCTTCCAGATATAGATAGTACCAGCTTTGGTTCTTACCCTTAGACTTCCTTGAAATTCACACATACATTCGAGTCTATCCTATTAAACTTTTTGAGATATGAACAATGTATTATTTCACACATACATTTGAGTCTACCCTCTTAAACTTTTTGAGATACGAACAATGTATTACTTCACACATAAACTTTTTGAAATTCACACATACGTTTGAATCTACCCTCTTAAAATTTTTGAGATACTAACAATGTTATTTCTAGTACAGGTAAACTTGACATGGATAATAAAGAATTTAAAGCAATTATTGATTATTTCTCGTAGACAATAGAAAATAGACCAAATCAATTTGAGAAGTTTCATGAAATCCATATACCAAATCAATTAGCATAATCAGTAAATATACAAAATCTGCAACTCATGATCCAATGCAAATAGTTGAAATGCTTTCAATCTAGATCCAATGCAAATATGCACAAGATCAAACTTTTTCAATACTAATGAAAAACCCATGTCAGAAACATAGATTGTCATTTAAAACAACCAAAACCCAATATATATCTAAAACCCGACACAATGTTTTTATGAAAAACAAAATAAAAACATGATAGTACCCCATCAAAGATTCAATTTTAACAACAGAAAACAGAATATCAAAGAGAAACCCACCTCAATCCCCTCAAGAACGTCGAGAATGATTGACAGCAACGCTCCCTTTGCTAGGAAGTTCCACAGGAATGATCCTGTGCTGGATAAGATCGACGCTGAGCTCTTGTTTTGTCCTCCGGGCATGCTGGTGCCTGGAGGATGGTGTGTGGGGAAATATGCACAAGATCAAACTTTTTCAATACTAATGAAAAACCCATGTCAGAAACATAGATTGTCATTTAAAACAACCAAAACCCAATATATATCTAAAACCCGACACAATGTTTTTATGAAAAACAAAATAAAAACATGATAGTACCCCATCAAAGATTCAATTTTAACAACAGAAAACAGAATATCAAAGAGAAACCCACCTCAATCCCCTCAAGAACGTCGAGAATGATTGACAGCAACGCTCCCTTTGCTAGGAAGTTCCACAGGAATGATCTTGTGCTGGATAAGATCGACACTGAGCTCTTGTTTTGTCCTCTGGGCATGATGGTGCCTGGAGGATGGTGTGTGGGGAAGGGAGAGAATGGCAGTGATCCTTGTTTGGTTGTCAGGAACCAAACTGCTCGTCGGCCTGGGCATGGTGCGATTAGGCTCGAGAGGTTTATGACTTTGCTGTTGTCAGAGGAAAACTTCAGGCCAAGACAATGCAAGTAGTAACCCTTGTATTTGGGTGGATTGATGTTTTTGGGCTCTCTTTTGAGAGGGATTGATGAAGTATTTTGTTGCAGAGAAGTAGCATGCGGTAGCAGGAAATTGTCTTGTGCAGCGCCTATTGATGGTATCCGATGGTTGAAGGGAAAGAACAAATGGAAGAAAAGTAATAACATTGTGTCCAGTAGAAAACAAATATGTCCATGATCTGAATCCTTTTTTGCAAAGACTTATAAACATAACATTGTGTGCAGTCGAGATCACCCAAAAAAAGTTCATATGCATTTTAAAAGTAATAAAGTCAATTATTCCATAAATATGTAATTAGATTCCCATAATTAAATTATAAATTTAAGCTAATAACTGCATAAATAATCAAATCATGCAATATTTATCAAACAACTAAATAGTTATCAAACAACTAAATGTGCATATGGTTATAACTCATAAATTGTCCTAACAAATAACATTCATAAGTTAATCATCTTAAAAGCATACGAAAAGTTCATTAAAAATCCTTCAACAGATTTGTAAATGTATTTAAAATTAAAATTTGTTCATGTTAAATTTCTTTTGGTTCCTTGATCATTCCTTCTCCACCTTTATCTTCTTTTTTGGTAATTCTAGAACCGCATCATCGTCGTCAATGTTGATTGTGCTGTCTTCTTGGATTTGAATTTGTGCTATTATCTTTCCTTGTGCACATTCATCCATTAAGGTTTTATCCAGACGAATTGAAAGATGATGAGGAATATGAAGACATTTTGGAGGACATGAGGGGAGAGGGTGGGAAATACAGTGAGTAGACAATCAGTCAAAATTTGTTGGTTGTTCTCTATTAGTGTTCTTCTTCTCTGTGGAATTGTCCTACATGTACCACTTATAAAATTAGAGAAAATCTTGTTTGTCATTATATCTTCAAGCTTAATGTTCTTGCTGACCTGGCTTGCATACAGCTATATTTTAGTCTTTCTTTGTTGATGTGCTTATAAGTTTCACTTTTGTTTTTGAAATTTAAAAATTTCCTCGGAATTTCGTGCTTATTGTGAATGTGCAGGTAAATTGGTGAATGTAGTCATTCCTCGTCCAGGCCCAAATGGGGAGTCTGCTCCTGGAGTTGGAAAGGTAAAAGCATGGGAACATTCTTATATGTTGTTTTCTTATTCCATACTGGTACCTTTTGTGAGATTTTTTTATAATTCTTCCATAATCAATCCTATAAACTTTTACTGTATTTATTTACATAATCCATACATCTCTTCTTTCTTTGTAGGTGTTCTTGGAATATGCAGATACTGATGGATCTACTAAGGCTAAGGTAGGGAAGAAATTTGGCGGTAATCAAGTGGTGGTTGTATTCTACCAGGAGGATAAGTTTGCACAAGGGGAATATGATGGCTGATAGGCTTAGTATTCATGAGTAGAGCGTGCTTTCAGATCTGTAGTTAAAATGGTTGTGGCAATTGTTCGCCTATTTTTTGGCAGTCATAAGATTATACTTTATTGACTCGTGAACGATTCTGAAACTGTTCCATGTCTTGTTCAACTATATCATGTGTACTGTTTTGTTAAGATGCAATTTGTTACAACTCTGTGTGCATCAATTCCTGGAGAATATGGACTGTTACTATGGTATTAAACAAGTTGCATGTATAAATGTAAGTCGTTTGGAGGTAATGTTATACCTCTTTGACCACTACTCTGTCCGATGGTTTTGAATCACTGGAGAATGCATTTTACTTATATCCAAAAATTTAGGACTAGCTATCTACTATTGTGGTAGTTTGTTTGGGTGTTTTATGTACTTCTGGTTTCTTAGCATCGCGCAATTATGCTTGATGTCTGATTCACTGCTTTATGCTGATCAACTGTAGTGCAAGTATAGGACCCATAAGACATGCTTGAGCAAGTTAAAATGTGCATGCAAATACAAGTGTCTCAAATTTTTAATACAGTTACATAGCATGGTACTCAACTTGAAGTCTATTCGTGAGTGGTTCTTGTACCGTTTAGACCGCAGTTTTTTTCTTTTCTCTCAGGTCTGCTGTTTTATTAGGGTGCGGGCCTTCGCTGTCAGAGTGCTATCGTGATACTTGCTTGAGTTGCAGTGTGATGTTTTTTAGTGGTTTTTTGGAAGGGATGGGTTTTTTGCCGGGTATGGAGGCTATATAGAAAGTATGAGAACTAAAATGTTGTAAATTTGAAAAGAATACTTTTAGGGTGCTTTAGAATCGTGTGAATTTGTATGTGAGCTCTTGTTTTGTAGGAGAGAATTTGTGCCTCTTAACAGTAACACTAAACACTAATGCATTATTTCTTTAGGCTTTATCAGACTGAAATAGATTAAAGTTTTTTCTAGAGCAATGTCTTTGCAATGCATTCAAGCAATGTAATTTTTTTTTCACCTTCAATTGAATGATCATGTTGCATTTACATGGGTTGTGCATCTATTCTAAGCTGGTTTTGATCCTTTTAGTGCTTAATCTTAAGTTTTTGTCAAGGCAGTTAGTATGCATGTTTTCAATCATGAGAATCAATACTGATTGTTCTATTTTAAGAATCAATTAATGATACTTCATAGTTAGTGATGCAAACAGATAATCCATTACTGTTCGCGGTATTATCGTGAATCAGCAGTCTATTATGATCGACAATTACATAGAAATGCCTTGTAGTTTTGTTCTTTCTCGTAATAGATATAACAACAAAGAAATTAAGAAAAATAATTTAATGATGATATCCTTCTCTCACCTGTGCATCATGATCATAGTTTCTTCATTAAACATAAACAAAACTAAATGAACACGGAATATCCTTTTTGCCCAAGTGATCCTCCTATATTGATCTTCAGCATACATAAATGGTATACAACTTAACATATGTCCTCCAGAAAAGCAAAACTATATATTATATGTGGTTTTTAGGAAAAAGGCCCATGTAATGTCTACTGTTTTAGTAGAAAAATTACATTGCTTGAATGCATTGCAAAGACATTGCTCTAGAAAAAACTTTAATCTATTTCAGTCTGATAAAGCCTAAAGAAATAATGCATTAGTGTTCACTGTTAAGAGGCACAAATTCTCTCCTACAAACAAGAGCTCACATACAAATTCACACGATCTTAAAGACCCTAAAAGTATTCTTTCAAATTTACAACATTTTAGTTCCTCATACTTTATGCCTCAAAAACACTTAAACCTCAGCATCTGGGAATAAACACCTGAGAAGAAAGAAAAAGGTAAGGTACAAAGGAACATGAACAAATTTTTTGAAATAAGATAGAATCTTTACTGAAAAGGAAGCTAAACTAATCATTTTCATTTGTGATTAAAACACCAATTAGACACAATCATAATGAGTATCACTATCCTAACAAAAACATGTAATTTGAAATCAGACATGAAACACAATATTCATAACAGACATCATAAAAGAGACATTTTTATTTGAATATAAGCAAAGACTTATTTCCCTAGGATTAGGAAAATTCATAAACTAGAGCAAGCAAGGAACCCAGGTCAAATTACATGATCGTAGATATTAGATAGGTGTCACCACTTAAAGCAACAACATAACTTCACCTTAACTAGCTCACCAACTAAAAGAATAACAGTCAAAAGATGAAACCTAAATAGGATAAGAGAGGGGTGGTTTTTTCATTGTCATCGTCATCGTTGTTGTTGTGGAGGGTGTGTATGTGTGTGTGTTTTTTTGGTGGTGGTAGTTGGGGAGAGGGGAGGGGGTTGTTGTTGTGCAGGTTCATATTCTATTTTTTGATTTGCACAATTTACTCTTCTACTTGTCACACCATACAAATTGCTTCAAGTTGAGTACCATGCTATGTAACTGTATTAAAAATTTGAGACACTTGTATTTGCATGCACATTTTAACTTGCTCAAGCATGTCTTATGGGTCCTATACTTGCACTACAGTTGATCAGCATAAAGCAGTGAATCAGACATCAAGCATAATTGCGCGATGCTAAGAAACCAGAAGTACATAAAACACCCAAACAAACTACCACAATAGTAGATAGCTAGTCCTAAATTTTTGGATATAAGTAAAATGCATTCTCCAGTTGATTCAAAACCATCGGACAGTAGTAGTGGTCAGAGAGGTATAACATTACCTCCAAACGACTACATTTTATAACATGCACTTGTTTAATACCATAGTAACAGTCTCATATTCTCAGGAATTGATGCACACAGAGTTATACAAATTGCATCTTAACAAACAGACACATGATATAGTTGAAACAAGACATGGAACCAGTTTCAGAATCGTTCACGACGTCAATAAAGTATAATCTTATGTACTGCCAAAAGATAGCGCGAAACAATTGCCACAACCATTTTAACTACAGATCTGAAAGCACTTCTCTACTCATGAATACTACAGCCTATCAGCCGATCATATTCCCTTTTTTTCTGCAAACTCTATCCTCCTGGGGCTATGATTACAACCACCACTTTGATTTTACTCGAGCTATCTACTATTGTGGTAGTTTGTTTGGGTGTTTTATGTACTTCTGGTTTCTTAGCATCGCGCAATTATGCTTGATGTCTGATTCACTGCTTTATGCTGATCAACTGTAGTGCAAGTATAGGACCCATAAGACATGCTTGAGCAAGTTAAAATGTGCATGCAAATACAAGTGTCTCAAATTTTTAATACAGTTACATAGCATGGTACTCAACTTGAAGCAATTTGTATGGTGTGACAAGTAGAAGAGTAAATTGTGCAAATCAAAAAATAGAATATGAACCTGCACAACAACAACCCCCTCCCCTCTCCCCAACTACCACCACCAAAAAAACACACACACATACACACCCTCCACAACAACAACGATGACGATGACAATGAAAAAACCACCCCTCTCTTATCCTATTTAGGTTTCATCTTTTGACTGTTATTCTTTTAGTTGGTGAGCTAGTTAAGGTGAAGTTATGTTGTTGCTTTAAGTGGTGACACCTATCTAATATCTACGATCATGTAATTTGACCTGGGTTCCTTGCTTGCTCTAGTTTATGAATTTTCCTAATCCTAGGGAAATAAGTCTTTGCTTATATTCAAATAAAAATGTCTCTTTTATGATGTCTGTTATGAATATTGTGTTTCATGTCTGATTTCAAATTACATGTTTTTGTTAGGATAGTGATACTCATTATGATTGTGTCTAATTGGTGTTTTAATCACAAATGAAAATGATTAGTTTAGCTTCCTTTTCAGTAAAGATTCTATCTTATTTCAAAAAATTTGTTCATGTTCCTTTGTACCTTACCTTTTTCTTTCTTCTCAGGTGTTTATTCCCAGATGCTGAGGTTTAAGTGTTTTTGAGGCATAAAGTATGAGGAACTAAAATGTTGTAAATTTGAAAGAATACTTTTAGGGTCTTTAAGATCGTGTGAATTTGTATGTGAGCTCTTGTTTGTAGGAGAGAATTTGTGCCTCTTAACGTTTTAACACTAATGCATTATTTCTTTAGGCTTTATCAGACTGAAATAGATTAAAGTTTTTTCTAGAGCAATGTCTTTGCAATGCATTCAAGCAATGTAATTTTTTTTTCACCTTCAATTGAATGATCATGTTGCATTTACATGGGTTGTGCATCTATTCTAAGCTGGTTTTGATCCTTTTAGTGCTTAATCTTAAGTTTTTGTCAAGGCAGTTAGTATGCATGTTTTCAATCATGAGAATCAATACTGATTGTTCTATTTTAAGAATCAATTAATGATACTTCATAGTTAGTGATGCAAACAGATAATCCATTACTGTTCGCGGTATTATCGTGAATCAGCAGTCTATTATGATCGACAATTACATAGAAATCCTTGTAGTTTTGTTCTTTCTCGTAATAGATATAACAACAAAGAAATTAAGAAAAATAATTTAATGATGATATCCTTCTCTCACTGTGCTCATGATCATAGTTTCTTCATTAAACTAAACAAAACTAAATGAACACGGAATATCCTTTTTGCCCAAGTGATCCTCCTATATTGATCTTCAGCATACATAAATGGTATACAACTTAACATATGTCCTCCAGAAAAGCAAAACTATATCAGCTCTACTTACTAAACATAGACATTACATGGGCTTTTTCCTAAAAACCACATATAAAATAGAATCCTAATATAACAATTAGTTTGCCAAATTCCAAGTATGTTAAAATATCATCCTTAATGGAGGTTATATGATTTCTATGAAAAAATTAAAAAGCGGATTTCATCAACTACACCCTTTCTATTCAAGCTTCGAGCCTCTTCCCTTTCCAATTTTCTGACTTAAAAGGGAAGCAGAAAAGCAATTGAACAAGACTCAAGGACCAGATTATATGAACGAATACATGTAAAAGCCTCCCTTTGATATGAAAACAGCAACATTATCCTTTTAACAAACAGATGATCTGCTTTTTATACCGCCTATTGTTGCCTTCAGCCTGGAAAAGGCACCAGCCTAGAAATTATCACTTACTGTAATACTCTTCAAGCATTAAGCAGTATAATAAACTGTTAGTTTTTCTACGTTCATGAGTTGATGGAAAGTCACATTTATCATATACAAGTTAATTCCAATATCTAGAGTGCAAGAAGCAAATGAAAATCTCCGACAATTCAAGATATTTTCAGATACCGCATCTCCTAAACTCTATACATATTAACAAAATCTAAATCTAAATTTATAAATTGATCAAGACATACCAAAAAATCAAAATCAAAATTTATAAATTTATCAACACATACCAGAAATGTTTCTCAGCTGCGGCAGCACCCTTCCGAGACCCTCCGCATACTTCCTAACCCAGTGCGTGAAGCTCGTGCCTTCGGCCGGAAAAAGCAGGTGATCCCCTTTGAGAAATATATAAATCAAACCAATTACTAAAATCAAAATCAAATCAAATCAAATCAAAATTTATAAATTGATCAAGACAAACAAGAAATTAATCTCTTGTAAAAACCTTGCTCAATTTGTTCACTTCCTTCGTGGACGATGAGGATAATAATAAGCCTCTTGATGAAGATAATAATCACCTTTGTCATTTGATAACCGACAATTGATGAGCTAGAGAGAGTGGGACTGCGTTGCCGGAGGAATTTCGTAACGGATGGAAGAAAGAAGGGAAGGAACAAAAGGCTTTACATTTTCTGATGTGAGCAACGTAAAAAAATTAACGGATGAGGGGAAGGAACTAAAGGCTTTACATCTTCTGATGTGAGCAACTAAAAAAATTTATGGATGAGGACACATTTGTTATATTTAAAATAGTTGAAGGGTAATTTGGGGTGGGGAAAGTTTTTTGGGAACTCCCTCTTTTAAAGGGTAGATAGATAGATAGATAGATATGCTCAAATCATTTTGTTACCCTCCTTTTCTTTTCTTTTCTTTTTTTAATACCCTCGAGTCATTGAAATTGCTATTAGCTCATCTAATTCTTCTAAGTTGTTTTAAAATCATTCCCTAATATTATGGTATTCCCACTCGCTAAAATACAATTCATTGACAAGTGACAGACATATATCCCTCTGCAAGCAAGACCCCAATCAACTTGGCAGCCCAAGCCCTGCAGAAGTCGCAATTTAACCAACTCGTCGTGAACTCAGCATTTTCCATGTCGACTCGAGAGGCGGAATCAGTCGGCCTTCTTTTCCATGTCGACTCACAAAGAGTCCACTCGACCGTCCGACGTCTCGCGCGGACGACTCGAAAGACGCTACTTCTCGACTAAATTATAACACCCGCTTCAGGCTTCTTCTAGCTGTATGTCAGCAACACAGTCCATATTAGACACGTCCCATCATGGCCCTAGCCTTGATAGCCAGCACGACTTGTCACACCATACGGGCTCTGTTACGCCATCGATCACTTCCCGAATAATGCGGAGACGTCCTCTCCCATGCCGAAGTATCTTCTCCCCCAGACGCCAGTCGACATTTGTAAAGCGGAAGCTGACTCAGCTGCCAGCCCACACTTCGCCACCGCCCTCGTGTGCTTGACCAAAGTGACCAAACTACCCTTTATGCACAAAGTATAAATACAAGTATCATTCTAACCTAAAAATGGGGAGAAAAAACCGAACTCCATCTACAAAATATACGACACACAAGAACTCATACAGTTCTTCACTTTCCCCATTCAAGCTCACTAGCTGATTTGAACGTTAGAGGAACCTGGGGAACCGGTCCCCGTCCTCTCACGAGCTTCTAATTTTGCAAACTTTTTAGCTACCCAATTCAAGAACTAAACATAAAGTCGGAGAATGAAGCAATTTCTTCATCAATCTCCTCTAACTCATCCCGGTGAGGACCTGAGCGGAACCGATAATACCCTAGATTTGACTGACTGTGTGAACATCGCCATTAACACCTAAAAATTTTGGAATTATTTTTATCTCCTCCAATTTTATAAGTTGTTTCAAAATAATCTCATCAACAAAAAGATTGAAAGCAACAACAGTGTATAAGAACTGAGGGCCCCAGTAGCACTTAAACCTTTCGAGGGATTAATTTCTAGGTATTATAAATATAAGGGATTAATACAGAAAAATACTCTGAACATGAACAAAAACACCTCCCAAATTTCTCTCCATCACCCCTCGCAGATCTAGATAATCTCTCTCCCGATCCCAATCGAAGCTCCGTCAATGGCGCCAGATCTCGCTCCCCCGCGAACCCCAACAGATCTCTTCGGCGATCCGATCGAGGACTCCGCCCCTCTCTGGTTCAAAGCCTCCTCTTTCCTAAGCCCCTCCTTCGACCCCGAATCCTACATCGACGATCTCAAATCCTTCGTCCCCCTCGAGTCCCTCGCCAAGGAGCTCAGATCTCACCTCTCCTCCCTCAAATCCGAGCTCGTCGATCTCATCAACCGCGACTACGCTGACTTCGTCAGGATTTGACTGACTGTGTGAACATCGCCATTAACACCTAAAAATTTTGGAATTATTTTTATCTCCTCCAATTTTATAAGTTGTTTCAAAATAATCTCATCAACAAAAAGATTGAAAGCAACAACAGTGTATAAGAACTGAGGGCCCCAGTAGCACTTAAACCTTTCGAGGGATTAATTTCTAGGTATTATAAATATAAGGGATTAATACAGAAAAATACTCTGAACATGAACAAAAACACCTCCCAAATTTCTCTCCATCACCCCTCGCAGATCTAGATAATCTCTCTCCCGATCCCAATCGAAGCTCCGTCAATGGCGCCAGATCTCGCTCCCCCGCGAACCCCAACAGATCTCTTCGGCGATCCGATCGAGGACTCCGCCCCTCTCTGGTTCAAAGCCTCCTCTTTCCTAAGCCCCTCCTTCGACCCCGAATCCTACATCGACGATCTCAAATCCTTCGTCCCCCTCGAGTCCCTCGCCAAGGAGCTCAGATCTCACCTCTCCTCCCTCAAATCCGAGCTCGTCGATCTCATCAACCGCGACTACGCTGACTTCGTCAGCCTCAGCACCAGGCTCGTCGATGTCGACTCCGCCGTCGCTCGCATGCGCGCGCCGATTGTTGAGTTCAGGGAGAAGGTCGCGACGTTTCGAGAGGCGGTGGATTCGGCGCTTGGGAATCTCAGGGAGGGGTTGAGGCAGCGGGCGGAGGCTGCGGCGGCTAGGGAGGTTCTTGAATTGTTGCTTGATACGTTTCATGTCGTGTCCAAGGTTAGTGGAACTGAAACCCTAGGTTTGGTTTTGTTGAAGTTGAACTAGCTAACACGATGTCAAGTGAATAGCCGAAGATTTTGGCTTGAGGAATGAACTATAATATGCGCAGTTGGAATTTATTCACATGCTACAAAAGCTTTAAGTTTGCATTGAGTTGACAGTTGTCAAAGTTTGGGTTGATCTATCTCAATGCGTGTCTCCTCTTTCTAGCAAGCATATATTGTTCTGATCGGAACTAGATTATCAGTCAATTTGGCTATTGTGATGTCAATTTAGCTGCCAAAACTAGCATCGAGTAGATAATTAGATATCTTTGAGGCTGAATTGTCCAAGATTTTGATTTGAGGAATGGAATTTACAATACGCTGTGCTTTGGATGTGTGATTGTCAAAAGAGTTATGAATTGCATCAATCTTAGCCCTTATCCTCTTTGGCTGTGTCATAATAGTTTCAAATTGTAACAGTAGAGTTTAAGTATTAATTAGTTTGGATTCATTGCGTGATTCTATGCTTTGAAGCTCATAGTTCTATCTATTTCCTTGTTTCTTGTTTCGGTGTAGGTGATAAGTAATTGTCTTTCAGAAGGAAAATTAAAAATTTGTGAGTTCCCTATAGTCTGAAATACACATTGATAAGTTTCTGAGTTATCATTTCTCCTTGGTTATAGGTGAAAATTATCCATTCTTTTCTACTAGTTATACTATAGTGCAGTTTTTTCTCTCTATACATGGTACATTGGCTCAGTCATCAAAAATACCAGAATGCCACAAGAATTATTAATATGTGAGGAAACTGAAGTTTTTTTAGACTGTTGGTAACATCAAGATAAAGTTTTGGAAGAGGAGGGAACAAGTTCTTAAACTATAAATGTACATTAAGATTCTTGTAGTTTTTTTTCTTGAATTGAATACAATACATGTGAAGATAATTTTCACTTCTTTTCTGCAGGTTGAGAAGCTCATAAAAGAGCTTCCTAGTACGCCATCAGATGGATCGACCATTGACATAGTCCATCTAGACAAGGGTGCTATAATCAATGACACTTACTCACAAGATATGGGGAATGGGACAACTCTTAGGGAAACCCAAAGTATTCTATTGGAGAGAATTGCCAGTGAGATGAATCGGCTAAAATTCAACATAAATCATGCAAAGGTCCAGCTTATTCTCTGCACTGATGTTCAGTTGTGATGTTACTTATTTGTTTTCTATTAAAGGTGTAAACTTATAGCACTTGAAAGGTCGCAATAATTCTGTCCTATAGTTCATAAACTAGCAAGTAATTTTGATGAAAGGATCATAATCTATGTTGCATGGGTATGGCGCATGGGTATGGGTACGGGACATGGCATATTTGTAAAGGTAGGTTACTTGTGGGGACACAACTATATAAATATTTATATACATGTATATTATATATTGGGATTTATAATTTATATGAGAACAATGATGAGAATTAAATTTTCCAATAAAGCACTAATCTTTGAACTAGACATCCAAATGACCCTTCGAAATCATAATTTAGAATCTGATCTATGTCCAATCACTTTCAAGAAGTGGATGTGAAGTGTAGGATATATGTCCAAAAATTATACGACAACTATTTTAAATTACATGTATTGTATAATTGAGTACATGCCCCAATATATGTACGCATACGCAATGAGTCATGACTCATGAGTGTCCAAGGAGTTTGGGTATGGGTGTCCGGTACGGGTAAATTAGAAGTACCTATGTAACATAGATCAGAACTAATATGATTCATAATCACTTTGGGACTAAAAATAAATTTCACTCTGAAAAAGGCGTCCGAGAGGAAATATGAATGATGAACCAGTAGCTTAGTCTATTGTTTGTAGTTTTGTCGACACGCTACTAACTTACCCGTGTAAATGTAGAGGTAGTCAGATTGAAACTTTATGAATGGATGATGATCTTCTTGGCTATATTCCTTTCTACTTCAATAAGAAGAAGATATGAGGCTTCTATAATTTCCTGCCTCACTTACCAGATTGAAGAGCGACATTCGTCTTGGAGAGTAGTAGACTTACAATATCAATATCGGACTTCTTTTCTAAACTTGAATGCCTATAATAAAGAGGTTGCCTGCAAATAAAATATTTTAAGTTAGTTCACGAAGCCTACTAAGTTTATGGATATGTGGTGGAGTATAAACGACATCATAGGAATGGGTAGGGAAGAGGTGCAAGATGATTAACATGGTTAATATAGACATATTTCATGCAAGATTTTGTTTATATTTATACTATATAGTCCCTCTTGTGTCACGACCCCAAATTCCAAACCTAAAAGGAATATTGGAGCCGGACTAAATCTGTGAAAAACTCTCCAAAATATGCATTCATTAAAAGACCATCAGAATAATCTCTCATTGAAATAAAACCAACAATAAATATTCTCTATAATCCCAAAAGTCAACGTTGATTCAATTAACTTGGTATAAACAAATATTTCTCAACTCTAAAACTCAACCTAAAGGAAAGAATCTCATTATTCCAAAACTCTCAATTTGTCAACTAAACATCAAAGATATTATTTAACCTAACATCAAAGATATTATTTAACCTTCACCTAAAAGACAATAACAATCTCGAATTTTATTCCTTGCTCCGTTCTAAGAATTTTAAAAAAAATCGTTAATTCCACCTAATCTCGAGTCTCTGAAAAGAAGGAAAACAACACAATGTGTTCACAACTCAATAAGTGGATAAATTCATACGTTGAACACTAGTTTTACAAAAATTCAAATATTTCGACAAATGATAAGCAAAATATAAGATTGATAGAGAATCATCAATGAATTCTAGTACATGATGCAAATATTTAAGAAAACTAAAAAAAATATGAAATGGAAATAAGCAGGCTACGTCTCAATGCGGTCAACACTTCATACTCCGGTTGACTCAGTAAACCCCACAATTATTAAGCTCGTGGTTCCGGGACGGTGAGACCCAAATTTAGGCTCATAGCGCTAAAATACAACCTCATAGAGGCACATTGAGCCCTGTTTTAATATCTTGCTTATATCTGACATATACCAGTATATTTACCTGAGATGCATATGCTTTAAGAAAATTAAACAAAGTTCGTAAAACTAAATACATTATACAAAAATGCCAAAGGCCAACCAATAGTGAAATCAATCAACCACATATGCATCTCAACCTACTACGCCAAAGGCCAACCAATAGTGAAATCAATCAACCACATATGCATCTCAACCTACTACTATATGAAAATACATAACAATTGACAATAGTGAAATCAATCAACCACATATGCATCTCAACCTACTACTATATGAAAATACATAACAATTGACAAAAAAAATAAGCATAGGCTTATACCAAATATCCATGTGCGTCACCTCCAAATCAACATTTAACATGTGAGTAAATCACACAAAAGGATATAATCCATTAGAAATAAATTCACATATAATTAATATAATTTTATATGAAAAATACGCAGTGCACTATGCATGAATTCACCACATACACAAACCCAAAAAACTATCGGAATACCAGTCACAACGCCTCCTCGAAGTCCCTTGGAATTCCTACATAATATTTACAAATAACCATTAAAAGTACTATATAACCTAAGACCCAAACACCTAATAAAATAATCTTAAAATACTAACTAAAAGAAATGATAGTTATCATATTAGATCAGAAACTAGTTTTATACGGGTCTCATGGACCTAACTTAGCAACCCAAAGTGTGCTCAACTCTGTTGGTCTTATGGCGAATTATACCATTCTATTGTCTGATGTCAAGGCCAATCTCAAAGCATCCATATGGATTAAATTGAAGGACTTAGATCTAAAATTGTCAATTTCACGTTTAGAACAACAAGATCACTATACTTTATTATTTTCTAAGCTTCAATAAGTATGACAAAGCAACAAGAGCATTTACCAATTGATGTTGAAAAGATCACCTCAATCTCACCGCGATCTCTTCTTCTTCTTCTTTGATTTTTTTTCTTTTTTTTTCACTTGAGCGGCGAGACAGGGACGGGAACAAGGAGAAGAGGCTGGCAGGAATATAATGAAGTAACTAGGGTAGGGTTTTGACTATTTATAAGAGTCCTTTTTTTGCTATTAGGACCCTCTAATAAATTTTGCATAAAAGTCCCTTTACTTTTTCTTATATATATATAGCAAAAAACTTAGAATTATTATGTACTACTCCTGAGTTTGCAGGGATTTTACTTTTATACGTCTCCAAACAAGGGTCTAAAAAGTAGATATCATAATATCTGAATCTGAAATTTTATCTGCTATCTGTGTCTACTCTGGTATCGAACGATTGTATAGAAATAATATCCCATCTGAATCCGAAAATATTATTTGCAGTCTGAATCTACTCTGGTATTGGACGAACATATAAAAAAAGTATCTTAACCGAATCCAACATAAATTATCTAATTTAGATTTTATGCCTATCTGCTAGAATATCTATATACTGTAAAAAGAATTTTAAAAATCACAAAAAGGTCCAATATAAGCTCAAAATAGATACTTAAGAGTATCAAGTTCATATATGATTTTATTGACACATCTATAGTAGTAATAAGATATATCAACACTACATATAAATTATATGTGGAACAAATATTACATGGAGGGATACCACTGCTTCGCCTATAAGTGGATATGTAAGGAGCAAATATTGATTATATCATTTTACTATTCATATATTTGCTTGAAAGGATGCAAATAGATGGTGGATTCAAATATCCTATACATCCATTTAAACTCCTATTTCGAACTATAGAATTCATTAGCGCATCTGGATAATCCTTAAACAACTAGAAATCCTCCAGGTTAATGCACTTATGTTTACTTTTATTTCCTTGTATGAATGACAAAACAAAATGATAGTGGAGAAGCAATAAAGAAGTTCAGTTGTGTCTTAAATAATGATTCATGTTTAGAAGTGCGCTTTCCTTCTCCTTTGTAAATACTTAGTTTGGTAATCCTACATACAGCATACTTGATGATATCTAATAATTTTGACTGCTTTCATTTATCCCTTCTATTTTCCCTAAAAATGTGTGAGGGAGTGCATTTTTGTTAGCTTTGATGAGGTTAAGAGTTAAGAAAATGCTAGTTGGATTTACAGAGAAATGTAGAATACTACTATCATTTTAAAATCGGCCGAATCATTCTCGAGTTCTATTCATTTACTAAGGTCACCATCTAGATGTAGTTTACAGTGTTCACAAAAGCTTTTTGGAGCACACTCCACGACTCATTTCGAAGCATTTTGAAGGATAATTGTTTTGAAGCGCAAATGACAAATGAATCGTCCCTTCGAACATAGGCTTCACCACTTGAAACCTAACTAAAGTGTGCGTATTGCACTCCATGAAGCACTTCTCTTTTAAAGGACCAAGGACAAAGCTTCAGACATGATATAAGGGTAAAAATGATTGTTAAGTGTTAACTTAATTAAAATGCACCTATATCTTCATTATCATCTTTTTCCCGCTCCCGAAGTCTTCCCTTTTTCCTTGTTGTAACTAAAAAACCAAAGCAATTATCTTATCTAATCTTATCATAGGTCTGTTTCTTTTGTGTGCTTCGACAATTATTTCTTTTTGTTAATTCAATCTGTTTTCCAACAATTCTGAATTATAGGTTGATTTCTTGTTTCTTTGTCCATCTGGTTTGGTCTTATATTTGTATTTAGCAATTGATCTTTTCTCTCTTTTGGGAGATGCGTTTATTTATTGTGCATCTTTATTTGGACTCTTGAACAATCCTTGAGCTCATTTTAATAGGGAACTGTTAACTTTAGGCCATGTGTCCCAATATGGCCATGTGGCTATAAATAAGATATTTCTTTAGTGCATAGCCTTGTTTATCATGATTTGCTTGTACATTTAGCATATTTCATTCTTATTTTATTGTCCAAAACCTGAATGTATATTTTTTGAAGTTATTATTCCAACATGTATTGTGTTTATAATTTTATATTAAAATACAATTAATTTATGAGGTTTAGGCCTCATGCCATGAATCTTACGTCCAACTACGTAAAAGGGTCCCCTAACGCTTCTCTCCCTGCTTGTGTCTTTTTCACCATTGGTAGTTCATAGCAATCTCAAATGCTAACTGCGTTTTTTTTTAAATAATTTCCTGAGCTCTTTTGACGAAGGATGTACGAGGGAGTGGGTTATCATTTTTATTAGGTTTCATAAGATATGAAAAGAGTTTGTTGGATATAAAGAGAATTTTAGAATAGTACTATCCTTTTAAACTTAGCCGAATTGTTCTTGAGTATTCATTGAGTTCATCCTCTAGCTATTGTTCATAATGTGCTCAAATGCTAGCTGGTTCTTTTCTATTTTGATTTCTTTGCTTTTTTGACTAAGTATGGGCAAATTCATCTAGAATCACGTTTTACATTTACATCCCTTAAGCTTACTAATGTAAAACTAAAAGCCTCTCACCAACACATTCTATTCCATGACCTCTATTGCTACTGACGGCAGTAACTCCTGTTCATTCCTTAGTTATCATGGATCATTCAGTAACAAAAGAGAACAATCTGTTATCTTCTTGCAATCTGTTATAGTGTCTTTATGCCATGTGTCTTTGTTCTATATTCTAGGCTTTGGACCCCAAAATATGATAGTCAGCCCGTTCCCTCGCTTATAAGTCGATCTTCTAAATAAGCATACATACATGAGATGAATATGGTGCAAGGATAGGGTGTAGCTCGGTTCATGTGCTACTTGTACCTCTCTGACCCAGCCCATGCACTCAATAATGTTAGATTATAGATTTTAAAATACTGATCAGGTTTGGGTTCGAGAAAAACCAACCCAGCCAAGATTACTGTAAGAATTTACCTATATTCCAACCTGAACCTGGACCAAACCAGTTCAAGGCAGATTGTACACGGACCCACTTAACTTTGTCACTATTTGTCCATAGTATCTTTAGTTATCTTTATCCATGCTTGTCAGTAGAGATCTATACTTAAGTTATCACATTAAGATTTTATATGGATTCTTTATGTATGTAACATTATTATAGTTGATCCAGTCTGCCCTATTTGCATCCCTATGTAAGGGGAAAACATGTAAATGAAACTCAACCAGTGATCTAACTGCACCTTTCTTTCATCAGTTCATGATATTTATATTATCTCCATCATGAATTTCATATTATTGCCATTTAAACTCTTTCTTATTGCAATGGATGTTCATACTTGAAACGCGATTGTGTATGAAAGAGGCTTCAGCTGTGATATTGATTAAAAAGTAAGATACTACCAAATTGACGCCAAATTCCTGCCTGAGGAAACTGTAGGAAAGCCAGGGAATTTGCTTAGCACATTCTATTTTGTAACTTAAATGCAGGCTTTTCTAGAGAGAAATGAAAAACAGATGTTCTTTCAGTAGCATTTATAATCCCATGGTTTTATGAGTGTCTTACGTTAGGTATGCATTTTATCCGATCTCTGAATTATTTTTGGCTATTGCTGTTGTACCCAATGAATGCATAATTGACTCCTATATATGCATGTTAATATGTTATATAAATCATATTGGGCCTTTGGAAACTTATGCTTTTAAAAATCTGATCTTTTGATTTGCAATATGGCAGTACAGAACCTTCCCTTCATTGAAAACATGGAGAAGCGGATCCAGAGTGCTACCCTTTTATTGGATGGTAGCTTAGGACATTGTTTTGTGAATGGCCTTGAACATCGAGATGCAACTGCTATTTACAATTGTTTACGTGCATATGCTGCCATCGACAACACCTCAGCCGCTGAAGAAATTTTTCGCACCACTATCGTGACACCATTGATTCAGAAAATTATCCCCTATGGCCAAATCCAGGTGGTGGATGGGACATCTTCTGATGAACTTGAGGAGGATTATACACAAATTAAGCAATGCATCGAGAAAGATTGCAAATTTTTGCTGGAAATATCTTCATCAGGTTTTGGAAACTAACCATTTGTTGCCTTGTTATTCCTTTCCTAGAGATACCATCTTATTCAGCATTTCATTGTGATTTCCAGCCAATTCAGGTTTACATGTTTTTGATTTTCTGGGCAACTCAATACTTAAAGAAGTCCTTTTGGCCATCCAAAAGGGAAAACCAGGAGCGTTTTCGCCTGGAAGACCTACAGAGTTTCTGAAAAACTACAAGTCAAGCTTGGATTTTTTGGCTTTTCTTGAAGGTACTTCATCTTTGAGCAAAAAATAAATGTTCTGAGATTCTCAAAGCCTATTGTACTATTCTGATCTTTGGCTCACTAGTTATCAAATAGGCATAGAAAATTTGTGTGTGTATATCTAGATACTATCAAACCAACTTTAAAATTCTAAGTTAGAAAATGAAAACCCTACTTGGTGGCTATAATCTGCTAGACATGAACAATCTAGAAACAAAATTTTATAGACAACTTCATTAACCCATGCTTTAAATGCTGTCAAAATCAATGTCTCAGAATTTTCATAAAGTTACTTAATTTTTTTGCCATTCGATGCATGTTTCAAAACACATTGAAATCCTATGAATATTTCTTTTTAAGTAGTTCATGTGTAGTAGATCACATCTACTGGTTTGGTTTTTCATTTTTAGACTTCGATTTTTAAAATTAGATTGGTAGCATCCGCATGTCGGATACTATTAGTAGTAGCCTAGCTCAA